TCGGTTGAGGTTCCAAGTTTTTTTTTTTTTGGGTTGAGGTTGCAAGTGAACCGTACCGTTACCAAAACGTGATGTGTAAGCTCTGCTGATCACTGATTGGCCGGAGAGAATTGTCTCTACCTGCGTCATTGAACTTGCGACACAAACACAACAGAACCGCTAGATTTAAATCAGCACAGTCAGCCAAGGATCGAACGCAACTGTTTTGAACGAGCGCAACTTTTTTAACAACCAAAAAATGGCTGTTTCGTGGTCTGTTGAGGAAGTACAGATGTTCCTGTAGAGTTGCACCACGCAGTGGAAAAGCACCATAAGTGGCGCCTTTATGGTACCTCAAAAAATGTTGAAAACAAATTTGGATGAGCTTATAGTTCAAGACACTGGCTGAGCTCAAGAGTTTGGGATTTTATTAGCTAATATTACTCTACAAAGATTTCCGGATCCGTGAAGGTCACTGAAATTAATTAAAATCTGAAAAAGTAATGGAAATGTCTATTGTGAATATGAATTTTGTTGAAATCAAGTTGAAATTGCTTTAGCAATCCTTATAAAATTATATAATTAATCATATAGGACTGGAAAAACGAGGGGGGGCTTAAATGACACTGTAAGGTAAAATTTCAGTCATATGTCCCTTTTCTATCAAAATAAGCTACAAAATCTACCATAGGTGTAGAAAAACTTCATAATTTTAATTTGACCAGAGTTTTGAGATATGAAAATCATGCAGCGCTGTTTCTCCTCATATTGTATGTTCCTTAAAAACACATAGCTAGTTTTATTTCCTCACCAGCAGGGATTCAGTCGGCATATTCTTATATTTGTTCCGCTCTCTTTTTAGCCCCTCATAAGTCATGAACTGCAGTGCAGCATGGGAAGTCCCCACCAGCCCCGGCACGAAACCCTGCAGCGGCAGAACAGCGAAATGAGGCTCACAAACATACAAAACCACAATCACACAGTTACCTCACAGTCTAAGAGCAACATCATTGTGCTCAACTAAACTAGACTAGACTAGAATTAAACTAGGATGACGTCTACTTCAATATGTAATCATTTCAGGACAATCTGGTGTGTCTCACAATGAATTTAGCCTATACTGTATTTAAGGATCCACAGGTTCTCCAAATATACTACAATCACACCCTCTTGTGGGCCCTACAGAGAACTACAATGTTACAGAGTAAAAAGCTGGATCAGCACACTATTTAAAGTCAACGTGAAACTTATTTTATGTCCATAATTTGATGTACTGTATATCAGAGTACACATGATATTCAATAAGAACAAGGGACCAAGTTATTAAACTCAATGTTTACTAAAAAAATTTTTTTTTGCAATAACATGCGGAAGTGAAACAGAAGTGTGCTTAATTTTATTGAATGTGCACTTATATTGTACTTCAAATCCTAAAAGTACATTTAAAAAAACTGTACTTCCAGATAATATAATATTAATGAAATAAAGGTAACTTAAGTGTAAGTAAAGAGAAACGCTTTCAATTACCGTTTCTTAACACACTTAAGTACACATTTAAAAGTGCACTTTGTAATGTCAAACTACATGTTTTATTTTAGAATAAAATATTTTAAAGTGCATTTTAGTTTAATTAATAATATTTTGTCATGTTTTAAAGTACACTGATTTTGACTAACACACTGAAGCACATGTGAAGTACTTGATTATTTTAACTGATGTGTGTTACGAGAGATCACATTTAAAGTTAATATATTTTAAATGTACTAAATTATGTCTTCAGTATTTCTAAATGTGTAATTACAAATATATTGAAATAAATGCTTGCCAGTACATTCAGCAGTACACTTTAACAATATTTCAAAGACAATAGAAGTATGAACAATGTAATTACACATAGAGACGTACTTAAGTAGGTTAAAAAAGAACTATATTTGTATTTAATTTAAATGTAACCAAATACATTTTTATTTAAATGTAAATAAAAAGCAGTTAAGAAAACAATAAATTAAATTTGCACTTAAGAATACAAATTTTTATATTATATTACTTTCATAATAAGTACTCTTTTTGACGTGTGCTTCTTTTTCACACAGGGGAATTGTGTGCTTAAGAAAGTAGTTGGGAAAAATGTTTAATTTCACGTTGACTTTAAGGTTGAGATCAGCACACATGAAAGCTCTATTACACCTGTAACAGGATCTCAGGTTAATTTAAAATCTGTAGATGTACCCTGTATAGTCCCGGGATACCCTCGTGACGGTATATTTTCACGAGGGCGTCCATCATTCCCTTGTAGTGCTTCCGTGAAGGGTCTGCATTGTACTGCAGCACCAGCCGGGTCTTTGTCACCCAGACTGGGTTGGTGAGGCAAAGCGTCAGCATGCCTGGAAACATGGAACAGGGGACCTTCACACCAACACTTAACTAGTCACTCCACCTTAGCGCTCTGTCTAACAGATCTAACAGGTTTTTTACACATAAAAGAGACCAACAGGAATAAAAATCATTGCTGTATTATCATTATGAGTCTAAAAATGCAGGCTAGGGTTGATATAGTATGTTTTTGGTCATACTGGTAAAGCTGAAGTGTGTTCATTTCCTATTAGTTAGTGAGAGCATTGTTTCGCGCTGATTTTTTTGGTCAATAGACTAGTTCTGCCTCAATATTCTTCGGTGTGCAATGGAAAAAAGCTGCTTTTTCACTTCCTAAACCGATACCCCAATCTTGTTTCTTCTCTATTTTTTTTTTGTCAGTTTCAAAACAGCCGCACAGAAAACAGTTTTGAAGCTGGTCATTCCTCTTATGCAATGCATTTTCATATCCTCTTCATATGTATATTAATACACAGGATCAAATATGATCAGATCAGTAGTTAGTTTTACTTTTCTTTGTTATATCACATCACAAACATACGTAAATACGTAAAATCTCAACTAAGAAAATGGTAGACAGCAACAGCTGCTGAGCAAGGATTGGTCATGAAGGTTTTCAAGGCGGGGCTTAGTAAAGGGTCACTTCATTAAGAAATATTCCTGATGCTTCTTAATAATTTTCCATTAATCTAAATGTTTTAAATAAAACATGTTGCGTTAATTTGGACATCAATCTATGTGTCCTCAATTTCACTTTCCATTCTGTTAGTATTTTGTAAAATGTCCTTTAAAATGACCTTAACGACATCATTTCAGGAGGGAAAACCACAGCCCGAACATCAATAAGCATTATGATTTCTGTGATGTTTTATGGCATCATCTGGTTTCTGTCACTCTAACATATTCCATCCTGTTATAAATAGCTATGAAAATTATATCACATTACCCAAACTTTAAAAAGTGGTCAAAATGACCTCGGCAGACCTAACCAAGCAGCATCTAACTTCAGCTATTTCTATTTATTGTGTTTCTGTTATGCAGTCTGTTCTATTTAATTAAAATTAAAATAAGCCCAAACAGGTCGTTTACAGTTGACAGTCACAGAGTGGACAGCGTAGCCTAAAGTTCAGACATAACAGGAATGAGGCAGCTGAAGAACACGGAGTCTCCAAGGCCTCTGACATTCCAGCTGCTCCAGTCTCATAGCTGAGCTACAGATTTAGCCGTGTTTAGTTTGTCAGGCTCACAGGTGGCTCTTCTCTCAAACTGACCTGCCTCCGCTGCAGACACCAGGTGTTCACCAGCACTCAGCTCTGTTTGCCGTCCCTCCCGTGTGTACGCTTTAATAGCATTATAACTGCGGGAAGATGAGAAAGGACCACATTATGTTCCCCTGAGCAATTTGCATGTGTGTTGTACAGTGCTGTAAACGGACCATCCTTTACGTAATTGTTATTGAATCACCACAGGGATTTCAGGGAGGGCAGACTTACATTCATGTCATCATTTACTCACTCTCATGTCATTACAAACCTGTCAGACCTGAGTTAATCAGCAGTTTTTATTTTTGGGTCAGTGCTGCTGTATTTAAACTAGAGCCCGACCGATATATCGTTTGCCGATATTATCGGCCGATATGAGCATGTCGCCGATATATCGGTATCGGTGAATGTGCCGCGGATATGACATTTTTTTTACAGAACATACAACGCAGATTAAATGCTTCTGAATGGTGTAATTACTTAGTTTGTCCAGCAGAGCACTGCATTGTTTGCTACTGGCGACCCAGGTCAGTGTAGTGTAGAGATGCGCGGATGAGCTCAAACTTCACCCGAGTCTGCTGCTTCAAATTATCCGCCCGCCACACACCCGCACCTATATTTGATCACCACATTACAATGATTCTAATTCTTAGTTTTGCATGATGATATGATGAATGGATGGTTTATTTTTAACAGCAGATTCAGTGACGTTAGAGACTAGAGCTGATCAGCGCATCACGGCACGCATCTGCGGCTCCACGGCCTCCGGAGCTGATCGCGGCCACTCAGTCAATGCTGATGTTTATACCGGCCGCCCCGCGGCCCAGAACTCATGCTTATCACATCGATCACATCACATTTCCTAACTGGGTTTCTACACTGGACGCGAGCGGCGCAACAAAATACAATAGAACCCATTATAATCAGTGATGTTGTCTACACTGGATGCGGCGCAACGCAACATGACAAATCCCGACAGTAAACTGATGCCTCGTTCTATTTATGACGTGCTGACACAGAGTTCAAATGGTTTTCAACGGTCGCTTTGTCGCGTCCTGTTGCGGCGCAGACACGGCGTGTCAGCATAGTTTGTCAGACTCAGTAACGTAGCAGATTGAAAAGTTAGTATCTGTCTGCAGTCCAATACACGGCAGTGCGGTGGTGGTTTGAGTCTGTTGAATGGTGATTAAACGCTACGTTGTCACCTAGTTGGAGAGACTCAATGCAAAAGTAAATAAACAACGTCCCCGACTTTTACTTTCACTATAAAGGCCATGTGATTTCCACGATGCAGAAACCATGGACGGAATCGTGGAATCCAGTCATAAATATGGAATTTACTGTATAACGCGGAATTTCAAGGAATTTTTCTTATTTTTGATGAATAAATAAAAAACAGGTCAATACACTTAAATCAAATCACGATTTAGACTAGTGTTTGTGAATATTAAACTGCAAAAAGACAAACACAAAACCTCGTGTTCTGCATGTTCATTCGATTACCAGAAAATACACAACACAGAATTTGTGAAAAAATATTATTCATTATTATTATTATTTATTCATTTTAGATGTTTACATTTGGAAAAGCTGTGCTTCCTGCATAAACCTGCTCCTGTTGGTTTGGCAGCATCTTGCTTGCCCTACACAGTTACCTTGTTTAATTTCTTAATTCAAGTTATATATATTTTTTTCTATTTGTGTTTAAGTTATTTATAATAAGTGAAGTGAACTTTACTGTTAAGTGCACTGATGTCAGACTGATTTTGAATAATAAAGTTTATTGTTAAATTGTTAAATACCCTGTCTCCACTACATAGACCTATGTTTGTCACATCATTATAAGTGTTTGATCACCACATTTAAGTTATCATTGCAAAAAATGTGTTTATGTATACATATTCTGTTTATGTAGGCTATATACTGTTTTCTATATACAGTACCAGTCAAAGGTTTGGACACACGAATGGGAAGTGTGTCCAAACTTTTGATTATACTGTACTATAATATAGCCTACAAATAAAGAATATCGGCCAATATATCGATATTGGTCTTTTTTACACCTAAATATCGGTATCGGCATCGGCCCCCAAAAAAACAATATCGGTCGGGCTCTAATTTAAACCCCAGCTGGATATAAAATTGCTGAGCTAAATCTATATTGTTATGGTTGTCATCTTCGCCTGATTTCTCTCTCGCTTCATATTTTTTTCCACAGAATGACTGAGTCTATAAAGAAAAATAGAAAAGTTCCTCTTGACATAATAGCCTGCTTATCAACTGCTTTTGAAGGACAAGGCCCAAATCAACAAGGATCTACTGCTTATATTTCAATTCTGCTACCCGTATAAAGTTGCACATGCACACTTTGTTCGCCAGTGATCCTGATCTGAAATTAGGTCAGATAACTTCGTGGAGTAACTTCATAACTCATCTCAACTGACACAGCACTGTTGGCAGCTTCTTTTTTTGGCCTGTGAACTTTAAAGGTTCCATGCCTTTTCAGGAAAGTTGACTATATTATTATCATCATCGTTATTTATTTATTTATTTCATTTTATTTTATTGAGTAGAAATAGTCAGTATCAGTGCCATTTACACTACTATTCAAAAGTTTAGGGTAAGACCTGTTTCTGCATTTTTTTTAATTAAAAATACAGCAAAAACATTAATAGTGTGACATATTATCACAATTTAAAATAACTGTTTTCTATTTGAATATATTGAAATGTTTGATTAATTTTTAAGTGTTTAAAAATTCAAGGACAGATGTGTGACTGGTATACAAAAGTTATAATAAAGGAATAATTACGATTTTTTTTTAAATGTTTTTGAAAGACATCTCTGTACAGTAATATCGTGAAATACTACTATTATTCTTTCAAATTTAAAATATTGCTGTGATCAAAGCTGAATTTTCAGCGTCTTTATTCCAGTCTTCAGTGTCACACGATCCTTCAGGAATCAGTATAATACGCTGATTTTATACTAACATTTATTATTATCATCAATGTAGAAAACAGTTGTGCTGCTTCATATTTTTGAGGAAACCATGATTTTCTCCCACCGAGGATTCTTTGATGAACAGATATACCGAAGCTGTGTTTAAATTCGTCTTTAGAACTACATTCAAACAGGAAATTCCATTCTGTGCTTCCCTTTTCAACACAACTCTGACTACTTACAAGAGGAAGTACAGGCCCCACGATGCCCCGGCCCCCCAGATGTTGGGGGTCACACCCTGATAGAGTCCTCTAATCCCTTCCAGCTTCCAGATGGTCTTCATGCAGTGCACCACGCCATCGTACTGCGGTCGCATTTTCAGTCCATCACTTACTGGAAAGAGAAAGAAACATTGGGGGAAACAACACACTCCCACTTCTGCTTCAAAACAATCTAAAAACATCCTAAAAAAAGGCCAGTGCAAAGGTAAGAACTAGCAGTTAATCTGTGCAATGCCCACGCTGTGTGCTGTTCTAGTGTTTCTGGGCGCAGACTCCCTGAGCGGCAGGACGCAGGAAAATACACTTCGTGAGGGTAGACGGCGGCACACTAATGCTGTTTTTTGTTTTAAAAAGAAAAACATCAAGTAACCAAGGCCCCTATTAAATTCAGCAGCCACCGCTGGGCCATTTTTCTGCTCGTCGGACTTCTCCTCTGACTCTGACTCTGAGGGAGAAGGTAAATAACAGAGCGTGGTGACGCAGGCCGGTGGGCGGAGCGACGTGCGTCGCAGCAGCCAATCACCATCGCATGTGGTGTGACGTAAGTCCCACCTCTCCACAGGCTCTAGAAACCTGTTTTGAGAGTGAGCTATATTTGAGGACGACGATTTATCATTACCAGTGTTGGGGACAGTTACTTTTAAAAGTAATGCATTACAATATTGCGTTACTTTCTAAAAAAAGTAACTAATTACGTTACGTAGTTACTTTTTATTTGAAGTAATGCGTTACGTTACTTTTGCGTTACTTTTTAAATCTGGGCTGGGCTTGCTTGTTTGCTTTTAATATAAAAAGTTCTATTTTTGGCAAATATAAAAGCCCTTTCACAGCAAAAGCCTCAGGCTGAAGGAAATGCAAATTCACTCTGTACAGTAGAACGCAGGAGAAGAACACTCTTCAGCAATAGAAAGAAGAAGAAGAAGAAATGTTAGTTTATCTTGTGTAATTTGTGCTTATTAGTGCAGTTGAATTGGATCACTGAAGGCCAGCAGCAAATAAATGGGATTAAATACATAAAGGATATTTGTGTTAATTAACATATTTAATTATTGCAGCTTTGAGTCATATTCTGAGTTGTGTATAACTGTTTTTATTCATTTTGAGGAAAACAATCTGATTTATTTTTTTTGTGAGTGAGATGAATTAATGCATGTTCACATTTATTCTAGAACTAAAGTTACATCTTACTCCCGATTTCTCTCAACAAGGGGACAGCTTTCAATCAATAAATGGGTAACGTGCGTTACTCTTTTGAAAAAGTAACGCAGATATCTTCTTGTAAATTAAAAAGTAATGCGTTACTTTACTAGTTACTTGAAAAAAGTAATCTGATTACGTAACTCGCGTTACCCCCAACACTGATTATTACACTATATTTACTGTAACCTACTCTTTATATATTTATAGTAAATGTGCTATACATATTATTTTGAACTATTCTACTATTCTATTCTAATAAGACGCATATAGTACAGTGCTGGGAAGGTTACTTTAGAAATATAATAGGTTACAGATTACAAGTTACCCTATTTAAAACGTAATAAGTAGTGTAAGTTACTTTATTAAAGTAATGTAACTGATTACATTTGATTACTTTTCTGAGTTTGTTTTCAACTGTTAATCATTTTGAAACCTTTAAAGCAGGCAGGGTTAACACGGTCAGACTTTCAGAATCCTTCATCACTTGAATTAAGATTATAATCATTTAAGTTTAAAGCACAGCCGCCACAAAATCAGACTTTAGCACCTCTTTTTGCTTTGAGATTGTTCTGAGGTTAAATACCGATTTAAAATCATAAGATGTAGTATAATAGTTACACAAACCCAAATAGAAAATAAAACAGTTATCGGTAACACTTTATTTTGATGGTCCCTTTTGAACATCCTGTTGACAATAAGTAATGTTGCGGCTGCATGTGTACTAACGCTCATCAGAGTATTAGTAGACTGTTTGCTTAATATCTGCTAACTCTTCATTGTCATGTCCAAATTTAATGTATAACCTCCCACTCAATTAATACTTAGTTTTGGGTTATGCCTTTTTTTGGGTTATGCATTTAGTTTCATAATGCTCTTCCAAGAACACATAATATGGAGGACGAGACCTGCAAAAACAATAAATAAATAAATACACAAATAAATAAATAAATGTGTGCATAAATACACGTATTCTTGTTTAAATACATACATAATTATACATGTGATGAAAGTAGGCAAATAAATAATATAAATTGGTGGGCAAATGGAAAATGTTTAAGGAAATGCTAAACTCATCCTAACTATTTTCCTTTGGCCACTCATTTATTTCTGAATGTAGTTCCACTTTTTTTCCCCCCTCTGCGCAACATGCTAATGAGAGGGTGTCAATTAAATATAAAAGCCCTTTCACAGCAAAAGCCTCAGGCTGAAGGAAATGCAAATTCACTCTGTACAGTAGAACGCAGGAGAAGAACACTCTTCAGCAATAGAAAGAAGAAGAAGAAGAAATGTTAGTTTATCTTGTGTAATTTGTGCTTATTAGTGCAGTTGAATTGGATCACTGAAGGCCAGCAGCAAATAAATGGGATTAAATACATAAAGGATATTTGTGTTAATTAACATATTTAATTATTGCAGCTTTGAGTCATATTCTGAGTTGTGTATAACTGTTTTTATTCATTTTGAGGAAAACAATCTGATTTATTTTTTTTGTGAGTGAGATGAATTAATGCATGTTCACATTTATTCTAGAACTAAAGTTACATCTTACTCCCGATTTCTCTCAACAAGGGGACAGCTTTCAATCAATAAATGGGTAACGTGCGTTACTCTTTTGAAAAAGTAACGCAGATATCTTCTTGTAAATTAAAAAGTAATGCGTTACTTTACTAGTTACTTGAAAAAAGTAATCTGATTACGTAACTCGCGTTACCCCCAACACTGATTATTACACTATATTTACTGTAACCTACTCTTTATATATTTATAGTAAATGTGCTATACATATTATTTTGAACTATTCTACTATTCTATTCTAATAAGACGCATATAGTACAGTGCTGGGAAGGTTACTTTAGAAATATAATAGGTTACAGATTACAAGTTACCCTATTTAAAACGTAATAAGTAGTGTAAGTTACTTTATTAAAGTAATGTAACTGATTACATTTGATTACTTTTCTGAGTTTGTTTTCAACTGTTAATCATTTTGAAACCTTTAAAGCAGGCAGGGTTAACACGGTCAGACTTTCAGAATCCTTCATCACTTGAATTAAGATTATAATCATTTAAGTTTAAAGCACAGCCGCCACAAAATCAGACTTTAGCACCTCTTTTTGCTTTGAGATCGTTCTGAGGTTAAATACCGATTTAAAATCATAAGATGTAGTATAATAGTTACACAAACCCAAATAGAAAATAAAACAGTTATCGGTAACACTTTATTTTGATGGTCCCTTTTGAACATCCTGTTGACAATAAGTAATGTTGCGGCTGCATGTGTACTAACGCTCATCAGAGTATTAGTAGACTGTTTGCTTAATATCTGCTAACTCTTCATTGTCATGTCCAAATTTAATGTATAACCTGCCACTCAATTAATACTTAGTTTTGGGTTATGCCTTTTTTTGGGTTATGCATTTAGTTTCATAATGCTCTTCCAAGAACACATAATATGGAGGACGAGACCTGCAAAAACAATAAATAAATAAATACACAAATAAATAAATAAATGTGTGCATAAATACACGTATTCTTGTTTAAATACATACATAATTATACATGTGATGAAAGTAGGCAAATAAATAATATAAATTGGTGGGCAAATGGAAAATGTTTAA